AATTTGATGAATTAAATAATGTGACCTAATAATATAAAATCCTTCAAGTAAATATCAAGTTATTTCCCTTTCACCATTATGAGGAGAGCATTGTCTTGGTCATTATTGACTTGTTGAGATAACTAAAGGTCATTTCTTTTTCGAAGGAATCAAATCATTAGCCATACAATATTCATAAATATTTGGGTTCAACTTAAAATGAATTGTTAGGTTTATTGAGATAACTCAAGATTTAATGAATTCATAGACAAATATCGGTATCCACATAAGATTTGAGATGATAAAAAGTTATCATACCAATAAGATTATAAATTGTATTAGATGCGAGTTGGTAATGAGTTACCTATATAATCCTTCTACATATAACTTGTTGAGATAACTTAAGGTTAATATATGCTTCCGGATGAGATCCTAACCCACTAAGAAAAACAATCGATAAGTTTTCTCGAGTCCCGTATTGAAGGCTATAGAACTTGAAGAAAATAGTGGGAGTAAACATAGATTGTCACTTCTTAATTTATGCTTTTGTTTTTTAAATGTAAATCAATTAATTAAATCGTATGTTATTTTATTCTATCAGGTTGTTGCATAGTATGACTGGCAATACATTGATACGATCGATCATTGATGGAAGTAATGCCTTCAATGGCACAAACTTCCTTAGCTGAAAAATGAATCCGTGGATTATCTTCCAACATAAAAAGATACTCTATGGGATAGAGACATCTTTCCCAACCGAGCCTCCTTAAGATCAGGCTAAAGTTTATGTAGGATGACTTAAGCATAAAAATGATATGACCACTACCTAAAGCATCATGTCGGCTACTATGACATTAGAATATGTGTGTCATTATAAAGGAACGAGCTTTTATGATATTATCACAAAGCTCAAAAACCTATTTAAGGAGAATACCAAGCAAAAATGTTATGAGATAGCCAATAAGCTTTTTAGAGCGGAATAGATGAAGGATCTAATGTTGAGAAGCATGCCATTAAGATGATAGGTTATATTGACGGATCGACTAAGCTTAAAGTTAGAATGGATGCATAATTACCTATTGATTTGGTATTACAATCATTGCCTAATAATTTTGAACGAGTTCATCATGTCGCTAAGATGATACCTATATCGATAGGTCGACTAAGCTTAAAGTTGGAATTCTCCCAATTAAGCCTCCTTAAGATCGAGCTAAAGTTTATGTAGCATGACTTAAACATAAAGATGATATGACCACTACCAAAAGCATCATGTTGGCTCGCTATGACATTGGAATATGGGTGTCATTATAAAGGAATGAGCATTTACGATATTATAACAAAGCTTAAGAACCTATTTGAGGAGAATACCGAGCAAAAGTGTTATGAGATAGCCAATAAGCTTTTTAGAACCGGAATGGATGAAGGATCTAATGTTGAGAAGCATGTCACTAAGATGATAAGCTATATCGGCATACCGACTAAGCTTAAATTTAGAATGAATTGATAATTATCCATTGATCCGGTATTGCAATCATTGCCTAATAATTTGAACAGTTCATCATGTCACTAAGATGATACCTATATCGACGGATCGACTAAGCTTAAAGTTGGAATGGATGCATAATTATCCATTAACCTAATATTATAATGATTGCCCAACAGTTTTGAATAGTTCATCATGAACTTTAACATGATCTATATGAAAAAGACTCCTGAGAGAGTCGTTGTCCATATTGAAGAAAGCTTAGCTCGAGATAAATAAGAAGAATAAAAGTTTTATTTTTCTTATTGATAAGAGAAAAGACAAGGTGAAGGGAAAGAAAAAGCTTTCTATTACATCTACAGGAGGGGTGAAAAAGACCGAGGCTCAAAATAGATAAAAGGATGTCTGTCTACTTTCATTACAACAAGAAAGGACATTGAAAGTACAATTATAAGGAGTACCAAGTAAAGGTGAAAAATAAGAGTCCTATTAACACCTCGGTATTTATATTGTTGAAGTTAATTTTTCTACTATTAATCCCACCTCATGGGTATTTGATATTGGAGGTGGTGCTCACATTTGTACAAATGTATAGGGACTTAGAGAATCAAAGAAAATTTCTTCGGGGAGATTGACCTATGTGTTTGCAATTGATTAAGAGTCTGTACCATTAGTTGTAGGCACCTATGAGTTGGCACTACCATCTAGGCTTGTTCTTAAACTTAAAAACAATTATTACATTCCTAGCATTACTAGAAATATTATTTTCATTTCTTGTTTGGACTAAGATGGTTTTCTTTTTTATTTAAGAATAATAGTTATTCTTTTTATAAAGATAAAGTTTTATATTGAAATTTTATAATTAATAATGGTTTGTATGTTTTAAACATATATACACCTACAATTAACATAAATGCCAAAATACTCAAATCAAATGATCTAAATAAAACATATATGTGGCACTATTGACTTGGTCACATAAACAAGATCGCATATCCAATCTTCAAAAAAATAGATATATACAATCATTTGATTATAAATCTTATGATATTTGTAAATCTTGTTTACTTGGCAAGATGGCAAAATCCCCTTTTATCGACAATGAGAAAAGACTCGCTAACTTGTTAGGTCTTATGCATATTAATGTATGTGGGACCATGTCTACCCAAGCAAGAAGGAGAAATGGTTGCTTCATAACATTTACTCGGTGATAAATCATATTTTAGTTATGTATATCCGATGAAACATAAATTTGAAGCTTTTGAAAAGTTTAAATAATTTAGATTTGAAGTCGTGAAGCAAACGGACAAAAGTACTAAAGCACTTCGATTTGATCGAAATGGTGAATACTTGAGCATTGAATTTTTAGATCACCTAAAAGAGAAAGAGGTTCTCTCTCAATTGACTACGCCTAAAACACCATAAATGAATAGTATTTCCAAAAGGAGGAATAGGAAGTCGTTAGACATGGTCCGATCCATGATAAGTCTTATTGATATCTTCATTTCATTTTGGAGATATGCACTTCTTACAACAATCTTTATTTTGAATAGAGTTCCGAGGAAGTATGTTGATCGGACTCCATATGAGATATGAAAAGAAAAAAAAAACAAATTTATCTTTCCTTAAGATTTAGGGTTGTGACGCATATGTCAAATGTTTAGATGGAGACAAGCTAAAGCCCAAATCAATGAAGTGCAAATTTATGGTACATAAAAAAACAAATAGATATTATTTTTACCGGTTACAAGAACAAAAAATGTTCATGCCTAGGCATGTTGTATTTCTTAAGAAGAATTTATATATATTAGAACCGGTGGGAGGAAAGTTGAACTCGATGAGATCCGAATAGACTTATAAATTAACACTACACTTTTGGAAACCCAACTAAATAGATTACAAAGTGCTATAACTCGCGTATGGGCATCCGTTTATCGGGACCCATAATTACTCGTGCATGAAATTCATATTCTACATGTAGAAGGAATTTTGTTTATTTTCTTAAGACCATTTGCACTAAGAAGTATGCAACAACTTGAGTAAATTATAAATTAGTCATTTCAATTTTTTTTTATGAATTAAATAGTTTTTCTAGTTTCAATAACTAATTAACAAATAAAAAGAGAAAAAATTAAGTAAAAATAGAAAAAGACCGAAAAGAAAGAAGGACGTTTATTGAAACAAAATAATATTAAATTAATCATAATTAACACTAATTAAAGGACTATTAATTAGTTTTAGAAGGACTATTTTATTCATTTTGTAAAATTAGAAGGACTAATTTATAAGTTAATCCAACGAGTTTAGATGAAACTATTTTAATGGACTACCTTTGTTGTTCTTTTGTCTTTTGTGATTCGCAATTATTATTATTATTTTTTCATATTTGTGTATGCATTTCTAAGATTAGTGGGAAAGAGAATTTAGTTTTGAAGTTTAAAAAGCATGACCATTTTATAGATGCCCTTTTATCCGTATTGGGCAAGTTGTTAAACGCAAATAAGCATTGGACATGGCCGAATATGTATTGAAAAAGCGAAATACTATAAAAATATAATAAAAATAAATTCAAATTTGGATATGTACAGGACACAGCAAGAATAAATGGGAAATAAAACCCGAAAGGGACACAAACATGTTTTTTTTTTAGGATTAATTTAATTTTTTTATAAGAAAACTCTATCCAAATATTATTTTAAATTTTCTATGAGTTAAAATACTTAAACGAGTTAACTAAATAGAAATGTACTTCTATAATTTTTAAATAACACAAATGATCATATTTGTACATGAGAAATGTTAATAAAAACAATATATATATATATATATATATATATATATATATATATATATATATTAATAATTTTGATTAGAAAAATACTATATTATTGTTTTCTAATTTAAAAATTATCTAACTTTATCACAAAAAAATAAATTTAAAAAGAGATATATAGTAACGATTAAATTAAAGTGAGAAAAAATATCACCAATCCTTTTAAAACACTATAATAGTTATCAAGATTATTTGATTTTTAAATGTCTAAATTTGTTTCATTGTTGAGTAAATATAAATAACATAATGTTTATTTTTTTGGCAGCTTCATATATTCAAGCATTGAATTATAAATTATTATTTGTTATATTGACTTGTTGAGTGTTATTTTATTGGTTTTAATTTTTCATCAGAATCTTTAAAAGTTTGACGTATTTTCCACATATCATATCCTAAATAGTACAATCACATATCAAAAAGAAAATTAATCAAATATTATTCCAAAAAACACATCAGGTAACTATTTTCAACTAGTACTAGTTTTCATCGATACAATCAAATATAAAAAAGAAAAAACATATATAAAATTCCAAGACCAAAAGCAATCTACTTAATCTGGATGCAATACCAAATATTTATTGTACAATTGCATCTGAACAAACATAAGAAGAAAGGTACGAATCATCGCTCGATGCTCGACTCCAAACAAACTTATCTAAACTCCAATTCTATAAAAAACGAAACAGATCATCCTCCTCGATTTCCATGGCAACCAAGACCGACCCCACCACCACCCGAACTGTCCTTGAACCATTGCTCACCTTCGATCTTACTATTCACTCTCACGCTTCAATAAAATCAGTTGCAATTTCACCAATCTCAACAAATTCTCAATATTTCATTTACCTAGGTACTTCATCTGGTTCCCTTCTCTTGCTCTCCACAAACCCAGAAAACCCGAATGACAAAACCCCCACCAAAGACCCGAAATCGACACTGGATTTTGATGTTTCGTTTCGAAACGTTTCGTTGATAAAATCCGTTTCCGTTGCTGATTTGGGGGTAGAAACGGTCCTCGTGCTTGATGATATTGGGAAGGTTATTGTTCTCTGTGATGGGTTTTTGTTTATGACGGATTCGGGTTTGGTGCAACCCGTTAAGAAACTGGGGTTTTTGAAAGGGGTTTCTTTTATCTCTAAGAGAATCAAGAGTAGCGAATTGGAGTGTAGTGATTTATTCAGTGTTAGTAGTTTGGAGGGTTCAACTGCAAGTTCTCGAATTTTGAGCAGATTAGGAGGCGGGATTAGAGCTAATGGGGTTAAAAGTAAAGATTTTGTGCAAAAAAGTGAGGGTGATTATGTTTTTGCTGTCGTGGTTGGTAAAAAGTTGATGTTAATAGAGCTTAGAGTCGGTAAGAATGATAAGGAAGTTGATTTGATGGTTTTGAAAGAAATGCAGTGTGTTGATGGGGTCAAGACAATAGTTTGGATCAATGATTCGATAATTGTTGGCACGGTTAATGGGTATAGTTTGTTTTCGTGCGTTACTGGCCTAAGTGGGGTGATTTTTACATTGCCTGATGGTTCTAGTTTGCCATTGCTTAAGTTGCTGTGGAAAGAAAAGAAGGTGTTGTTGTTGGTGGATAATGTTGGGATTGTTGTTGATGCACATGGGCAGCCAGTTGGAGGGAGTTTGGTGTTTCGTAAGGGCCCAGATTCTGTTGGGGAGTTGGCTTCTTATGTAGTGGTAGTGAGGGACGGGAAGATGGAGTTGTATCATAAGAAATCGGGTAGCTGTGTACAGACTGTTAGTTTTGGCAGTGAAGGAGTTGGGCCATGTATTGTTGCGGATGAGGAAAGTGGGAATGGGAAACTTGTTGCTGTTGTGACGCCCACCAAGGTGCGAGAAATTGTTATCTCTTCAATCATATTATGTCACTGCACCTTTATTGATCTTTAGACATGAATCTTAGTTTTATGTATGGTGTTTCTTAGTTCTTTGGCTGGTTTACTGTTAATTATATAAGCTAAATTGTGGACAATTGTCATTGCGCTCATATAGATTAATTGTGTTCAGCTGTGTTTCTGAGTGAAATGTTTAGCTGATCATTTCGACCTTGGGACAGAAAGCGATCTTCAAAGTAACTCTGAGGCTTTCTTTCCTTGTAAACTTTGTTGTTCTTGCATACCTAGTGCATTTTTAAGATGAGATTTGTTTAGATTTCCAGCTGATTATCAAAAGATTTACGAAATTAGTGGCATAAAATACTTGCTTAAGATTTTGTGTCCTGGTTAGAAACAGCCCATATGCTTCTGGATGCAGGTTTATTTGAACAGGTATTTGATAGATTTTGCTGTTTCATTTGATTATTGCAAGGTTATTTGCTACTGTAGAGTACCTACTGAAGAACAAATCAAAGATCTATTGAGAAAGAAAAACTTTAAGGAAGCCATCTCCTTGGTGGAGGAGCTTAAGAGCGATGGTGAAATGTCTAATGAAATGCTATCCTTTGTTCATGCCCAAGTGGGGTTCCTGCTGCTCTTTGACTTGCATTTTGAGGAAGCTGTTAACCACTTTCTGCAGTCAGAGACAATGCAACCTTCCGAAGTGTTTCCATTTATCATGCGAGACCCAAATCGCTGGTCGCTGCTGGTATGTGTTTACAGTCTCATTTTGCAAGACCTATTCCCTAGTCAGTAATTTCAATTTGGTAAGGGATGGATCATCTGCTTACTTCCATCAGCTTTCATGGCCCATTATTCTAAAGGATAGATCATTTAAACCCCTGAATTTCATCTTATTCTCTTCCATTATTGTTAACATGAGCAGCCATCAGCAAAAATGAATATCGATAGTAATATGCGTATTGTTGGTCACATGCCTCCTTCACTATTTCATGAATTTGAATTAAGGAACCATATATACCATAACCTATATAGCAGAAGAAATGGTATTCTGAATGAAAAAGGATTGAAAGCGGGATCCCGAAATGGTGCAATGTTTCTTTGCATCTGCATAATTATACGCTTGTTTGTTAGATGGTGATTGGGTATACCTGATCCGGCTGGTGACCTGCAGTGAATGTTCTTGACATTGGTTGAAAGATGGATTAGGATAAAAAATACTATCATTTGATTGTGCAATTAAATGAATGAGCAATAGTTTCTAGACTCTGTATATTATGTGTATATGCCCTTTTTATTGTGTTTTTTGTTGGAGTAGAGTATTTTAAGCTTATGTCGAAGTGCTCTGCGTTTTTGTCATCATAGTATTGAACTTATCCTTTCAGGTTCCTAGGAACCGATATTGGGGTTTGCATCCTCCCCTGTTCCTCTTGAAGATGTTGTTGATGATGGGTTGATGGCCATCCAAAGAGCAATTTTCCTTAAAAAGGCAGGTGTAGATACTACAGTCAATGAAGATTTTCTGTTGAATCCTCCAACTAGAGCTGATTTACTTGAGTTGGCAATAAAAAATATGAGCAGGTGTCTATGACTTTGTTTTGAACTGTTTACATGTTATAGCTTTGTCTTTCTGTCGTTTGCGTGTAACTTACAGTTTTTGCTCCCTGCTATTGATTCTACAGATATCTTGAGGTTTCTCGTGAAAAAATATTGACTTCTTCAGTGAGAGAGGGAGTTGACACACTTCTAATGTACCTCTATAGAGCCCTAAACCGCGTTGATGATATGGAAAAGCTTGCATCTTCTGGAAACAGCTGCATTGTGGTATGTGCCGCTTTCTCTTTGCTGGAGTTGATCAAATAATTTCTCTTCCAAGTTTTTTTACTTTTTTCCTGGTAATGGACTTTTTAGATGATCAGATGAATCAGTTACTGCCATGTGCATAAACCAAATTTTAAATCAATGAAGAGAGTTGCCACTTGGTTTTTAAGGCTGGCGGTCTCTCTTATGATGTGTAGTTAAGAGAAGAAGTCTTTTTTTGGGATCAATATTAAGAATTTTAACAAAAAGCGTTATATTGCACTGGTTCTGTTCTTCTTTACTCGATTTTCCCGCCATTCTCTTTAAGCATAACCTATGTTTCAGCTGAATCAATTTCAACTCAAATGAGCATCAGTTCCAAATTAGCTGGTTGGATACATGCATCTGTTTCTTCAGTGCATCTTTTCTTGTACTGGTGTACTTCTTAGATAAAGTCACGTGTAATTCATCTATAAAAGCAGACATTCTTATGTCTTGGTTCATCAATGTGGGTTGATTTTAATATATTGCACTAGAGGGTGTATTTCACCAAAGATATTTTGGAACTATCTAGAACTTGTAAAAGGAGCCATCTACTGATGGCAACAATCAAAACATTCAATTGCTTTGGGTTTGAAATTCTATAATTGGTAGGTAGAGGTCAAAATTAAATAGTGTATAGGCCTCAAGTCAATAGTAGTCTGCGGAATCTTAGTATTCCAATGAATTGCAAAACAGAGGGGCTGTTGTCAGGAGCTTGCTTGAAGGATGACCGTACAACTTCCATGGGCGGTGCAGGAGGAGTTAGAAACTTTGTTAGATGAATCTGGGCATTTACGGACGCTCGCCTTCTTATTTGCAAGTAAAGGGATGAGCTCAAAGGCTCTTGCCATATGGCGCATTTTGGCAAGAAATTATTCTTCTGGTCTGTGGAAAGATCCTGCTAAGCATGAATTACCGGAAGGCAATACAAATGTTATCTCTGGCAGAGAGATTGCTGCGATTGAGGCAGCAAAAATTCTCGAGGCGCTATCTGATCAGGATTTGGTTTTGCAACATCTTGGATGGGTATGTAGCATTTGAATATGGTTTTCTTTTAATTTTACAGAATTTTGAAGCTGATATCTAGTTTACAATTTGGTGAAATCAAATTAGATTGCCGATGTTAACCCGGTACTCGCAGTTCAAGTTTTGACATCGGAGAAAAGAGTAGATCAGCTTTCACCGGGTATGGCTTGGTTTTCAGAGAATATTCTTATTTTGAGTTATGGATCTTTACTACTTGCTAATTAAGAATTTCACTAATTTTACTCCATGACATCTCATTGGTGAATTTAATACCATTCTGAATGCGCTGTAAGCTTTGAAAATTTATTGAATTTCTAAGTCCCATTGATATAGCCCTTTCAGTCCGGTTAGTTTGTGATGTTTCTCAATTTATTGCTCATCTTGCCAAGAGTGAAACATTTAGTAAAACGAACTGATTTAACATCTTGTAAATTTGCAATGGCATGGATCGTGTGTGTTATGTTATGCCATTTAACCTGATATGAAGCTAATAAGTATTCTGCTTCTAAGAAAGTTTGTGGAGTTACTATTTTCTATATTTCCTAAAGTGAATCTGCCCTTTCAATTCTTCATTGTAGATGAAGTAATTGCTGCCATTGATCCAAAAAAGGTTGAAATTCTCCAAAGGTATGCCCACCGCATGTTTCATAAATTACAGGTCCAGAGCTATGCAAATGATTGGTTTAGATAGGTCATATGAGCTCGACTGCCTTTGGACTGCAGGTATCTCCAGTGGTTGATTGAAGATCAAGACTCTTGTGACACACAGTTCCATACCCTATATGCACTTTCACTTGCAAAGTCAGCAATTGAAACTTTTGAGGTGGAAAGTACCTCCCAGGACCCTGATGGTGGAAGGCTGGAGGAAACAGGAATTTCTGATTTTGGCAGAAGCTCAATCTTTCAAAGTCCTGTACGAGAAAGGTTGCAGATTTTTTTACAGTCATCAGACTTGTATGATCCGGAAGAGGTTCTTGAGTTGATTGAGGGATCAGAGCTATGGCTGGAAAAGGTCGTTGGATCACCTTTCTCACACTTCTTTATTCTACTTGCTTGATCATTATTAAGGGCCCCCTTTTTTATCAGTGTTTGTCATTTATATCTTTCTGCCAATAGGGAAAGCATGACAAGTCTTGCTTATCAGTTGCTGATTTTATTTGGCAGGCTATTCTTTACAGAAAATTAGGGCAAGAGACTTTGGTGCTGCAAATTTTGGCCTTGTAAGCCTCAAAATCACTTTTTCAATACTGATGGAAGTAACTGTTTGCCAGCTTGTTCAAATGGTAATTTATGTGGCTAGGGAAGGATCAGAGGGTGCAATATATGCATTGGCTTTGAGAAAATCTCATCATTTGGTTCACTAATATTGGTTACATTATATTGCTCTACTAATCAAATATTCATGTACTAGAAAAATGCATAAATTTATCATGAGCCTCATGGTATTTGTTGGTTATTAGCCACAGATTATCAAATCAAATTAAAGAGGCTGTTGTGTTGCCAATCTCTCTCTCTCTCTCTCTCTCTCTGTTTTTTTACTGCTTGGTTGATTGGTGTACATTTTAAGTAATATACATCGCTCTCTCAGGAAGCTGGAGGATAGTGAAGCTGCTGAACTATATTGTGCAGAGATTGGCAGACCAGATGCCTATATGCAGTGAGTTTCTTTATTTTCTCCTCTTTCTGAACTGACATGCATAAATTTTCTTACTACTGGGTGTTTTACTTTCTGTGAATCATTCTTCAGGTTGCTTGATATGTATTTGGATCCACAAAATGGTAAAGAGCCCATGTTTAATGCTGCCGTTAGACTTCTGCATAATCATGGGGAATCACTGGATCCGTTGCAAGTTCTAGAGGTAGAAAATCCACCTATCCTTGTTCCTTTCTTCCTCAGGACATGCATGCTAGTAACACTTTTACTTAATGGCTTGCTTTTGAGTTTAAAAAATTAAGCTAGCTAAGACTTTCTGAATATTCTGCAACTCTAGCAGGGAGAAAAGGCAAAATAGTATTTAAGATGTTCATGTTTTCTTATATTTTACATCTGCTATTTGCCTTTGTGTGTAAGAATTCTTTTGGCGTTCCATATCGGGAAGGGCATAATCTTAAAAGGGTATATGAGGTTCAGCTACCATTGGATGTGGGAATGGATGATATCTAGTCTGGAGATATTCGTGCAAAATAATGAAAGTGAATCCTAATTTGTTGTTATACTGATATTGTTGCTGCCGTTTGGGTTGGGTCTCTCTACTCTGCTCTGGTCTCCAAGCCTGTGTTAACTATAGACTTGCTGATTCCAGCATAAAATCATAATTAATACACTTGAAGATCTACCGTTCTTATTCCCTCATATAGAGAGATGCTTCAACATTGCATTATGCAATTGTTGGTACCGCGTTCCTTAAGTGAAATTGTTGGGTTGACTGTGAAGTTCTTGAATCGTTTTTTTTTTTTTTTTTTTGGCAGACATTGTCTCCAGATATGCCCCTCCAACTTGCCTCAGATACGATACTAAGAATGTTGAGGGCTCGGCTTCATCATCATCGCCAAGGACAAGTAAGAGTTTTACTTGAAGTTATCTAAAAAACCTATGTGAATAGCTTTTTCTGCTTTTCGGGCTTATTTTTCTCTCATTCTTGCATTATCGGATCTTCTAGCTTTGTTGAACTATTCCCTTCTGAAAACTCTTAATGCTCATAGCCTTGCGCTGAAAGTTAAATAACAATATGGCATATCACATTATGTTATATTCCCGCTGAACTCCCCTTTAGGACATGTCTCTGAAAAAAATAGAACAATTTTTTTTTGTAGCTGGTTCTTTATTCCATTGCTTATACTGTTCTAAACTTTTCTTAACTTTTCAGATTATGCACATTCCATTGCTTATACTGGTCTAAAATTTTCTTAACTTTTCAGATTGTGCATAATCTGTCCCGTGCTCTTGATGTTGATGCAAAACTTGCAAGATTGGAGGAAAGATCGAGGCATGTACAGATAAATGATGAGAGCCTTTGTGATTTGTGTCATGCCCGGCTAGGGACCAAACTGTTTGCAATGTACCCAGATGACACTGTTGTCTGTTACAAGGTTGGTCATTGTTGTCATATTTTTTGTTGGTTATGAAAGTTCAATGCGGGCTTTGGAAAGGAAGATAATATAACCTATAATCAATATGCTATGTTTGCAGTGTTTCCGTCGTCTGGGAGAGTCCACTTCTGTCACAGGTCGCGACTTCAAGCGAGATCCACTGTTCAAGCCAGGTTGGCTCGTTACCCGCGAATCTAGAAATGTTTTTTGAGTGCTGGAATAAAAAATGGTTTACAAAGGTAGTTTCTGTACATTATAGTAAATATCTATTGACTTCATGATACAAATGTCATTGGAGAACCACCTTTTCTTCCCCTTTCATATTGGTTGAGGGGAGAGGGGAGCTTTCTCGTATAAGATGTTCAAATGTATCTATGAACTACAAAACCTTGTTCCTGATCAACGAAGTAGGTAATGATGAGGCTTATTTATAATTTACCTAATAGAGGGCTCTATATAGGACTCCTGATAGTTATACAAGCTTGGTAGCTTCCAAATTTCAGAAAATGAGTGGTTTGCTTTGAAACCAACCATGTGTAATAAAGGGCTCTTCGTGTACATTATTGATGTTAATATTTGTTTTCACTGATCTTGCCTACGGGTTAAACCTGAGATTGTTTTGAAGTTTGTCCATTTTTTTTTTCTTACTCAAACACTTAAAAGGCTCTTAGCAGAACTATTCGGCTAGTAAAATAAGAGACTTCTGTTGGAATTACATCCCATGGTTGCCCTCTGTATTCGTATTTTTAGAGTGCTGACTGTTACTCTGCCTTGGAATGGGAAGGCCTTTTGCTGTTAGAGAGAGAGAGAGCAATTGTTCTGATGCAAACTGAGCAAATTCTTATAGCCCTGCCTTTAAGCGTTTACGAAATTTTAAAAAATTAAATCTTGTATCTTTTTTTTTTTTTTTTTTCCTTTTTTTTAATAGTAATTTATTATGCTAATCGTTCACTCTTTTTTTTTTTTTTTTTTTAAATAATAATTATGCTCATCATTCTTCAGATTGTTTTATAGAAAGGTGAAAGGTAAAACGTAAGATGTGCCTTTAGGACGTTGATAGGCATTGGAATTTTGAAACTTTAAAATGTAAAGTCTCTTCACTCCATTATTTAATATTGTGAATTGTGAATTACTGGTTACTAAAATTTCCAACCGTTAAGGAAAAACCATATGTTTAAAAATTTGATATGATGCCTCTTTTGTAACAATGGTTTTCTGTTTTCTTGAGAAAAATAACTAATATCATCTTAATTGAACATAGTAAAGAATATCAAATGATATCACCACTGGCGAGACCAAATGTAGCTGAGTGACCCTCCCTCCGCAATTTCTAGAAAGACACTTGAAGACTATGGTTACAGGTTCTTAAGCATCATACTTCTACTTGATTGACCCCTTCAAATAATTTTTTTTTTTTTTTTTTTTTTTAATAAAGAAAATGGGTTAAATTTGTACCTTCGTAGAAACATCTATGGAATGCTGCCATATTACAAAAGCTAATTACCTTCAAAAATAAGGCCCACAATTCCACAACTATGTTTATTAGCTTAAATGCCTCAAATCTTGATAAGCTCTACAATTTACTGCTGTACCATTTTTTTACTATATACCAACCCTCCCTCATTTAACTCTTTCATCCTCCTACTTTCTAATTATGTTGTTTTCCTTTTAGTTTATGACTAGATTTTAACCTTGACTTCGCTGCGGGATGCATGCAATATTTTTTTTTAACACTTTTAAGACTTCGTTTAAGATACGACTAAATCAACTATGAAATTGTATATATATTTGCTGGTGTAAAATATCATTTTCCTAAATAAATAGTATAAGACGTGTTGTTTTTGTTACCTTGTAACATGGTTTCAAATTTTATCAAAGGGTTTCGAAGGAAGAATTCTGGTTAACTTAATGAAACCATTTATGGCTGTATTCTTGATATTTTATTGATTTCGTTCCTCTATTAAAACTTTCATGAATTTCATCCTCGTACCCCTAGTCCAGATTATGACTATAGTTCTTCTGTAACCATTTTGCTAGTAAACTATATAAACCATTATATATATATACCTAAGTTCAAAATGGAAAAAAAAATGCTCACACAGAAATTTCAATTTGATTGTCACAAATTACAGCATATAGAAAAATCGCATGCCTTTATGTGAACCGATGTAAGAATATGAATGGCATAGCATTAAGAAATTCAGGTGATCATGCAACTTACACCTATAGATGTTGACTGTATGCTAGGAGTGCAACTTTGACTATATGGTTCGGACCAACTATGTGCAGGGCAAACTTTGATCGTGGTGGATAAAACCTTTTAAGTTGTCATGCAATTGAACCTGTAAAGGCAATCTCGACTTGCACTGCAAATGGTTTTCAGTCATGTTTGATAAGATGGTTAGTTGCTCTTCGAAAGCTGTACGATACAGTTAAAGAAGATTAACGCTCCAAATGCAATATTTCAGCCTCGGTTGTGGCAATCTTCTTCCTCGGTACATCATATGATTGCATGAGGTTGAATAGAGGTTAAAAATAGGTCCAGGAAAATAAGCAAATAAGGAAAAATAAAATCCATTTGAGACATTAATTCAAGAGCCATTTCTAACCAGAAACTTCAAAACAAAATTAAAATATTTCTAGTGCTTCTTTTTTCTTTTTGTTCTCTTTAATTTCAAACCAGTGGCTAGTTTTTTCTGATGAGAAATTCAGCATACAAAGCTCCATTATAGTTTGGATAGCTAATATGATTACATATGCACATTATAGGTAAAATTGATAACAATTTTTTTTTTTTCATTTTGTCCGTTTCTTAAAATCGATAACACATGATTATGTAGTACTGAACCTTCGAAGTTGAAGTGTCACGACTAGGAACAAATATGATGGAACGACAACCCATTGTGTCCTCGTAATCCCAATTCGGTGAAGCCTCGCGAGATATTGTATTCTTCAACTTCATAATCTGTCAAAAGTGTAAGTCATTGAAGGCGAGTGCAAAAGCTTCTTTGGTTGTCCCTTTCCTCCGGATCCTCTATCAACCTCGAACCACATTCTCGGCAAATTTCATAATAAACCGCATCTCCTCTTCTAAAAAAATCTAACTTCAAAATCACACAGAGAGCATCAAAATGCCAGTCATTTCATTATGAGGGTTCCTAAAAAGCACCTGCAAGGGAGAATAACAAAAGAAACCGAATTGCATGCTAGTTTTCTAAGAAGCAATTTAACAAACAAATAAAGGGCATAAATGCTTCCACCTCTCTTCTTTAATGGTGCCTTTCCTTTTGTTGCCCAATGGTCCTGGAAATCAAAACCGTTGATTGGAAACAATTTGCTACACCTATTAACAAATTTGTTTCGCAATCACTACACCTCTTTTGTATGTCGAAGGCTTTGGATGAAGGTCTGTGATGGTTGCTTTAATATGGCAATAAACAACCAAAGGGCACAAACAAAATCGAGTAGAAAAGAAATAATAAAGATAGAAAGTAAAAAGATGAACATAGTAAGAATTTGTTGGAATTGATACTCATTCATGTCCGAATGAAAATATATATACGACTAGCTAACTTTGTCTACACACCTATTCCTTCTTACAAATTAGCTATATCTATGAATGTTAACTAGAATCAAGGAATACATAAGGAAAATAAATATTTACTAATAATACGGAGAATATGACAGATTTGACTTTCCTTTCCAACACCCCCTCAAGTTGGAGAGTGAATATCTTGCACTCCCAACTTGCGAACCATAGGCATGAAAACCTCCTTATCCAAAGCTTTGGTCAAGACGTCGGCTAGTTGATTTGTAGAACTCACATGTCTTGTCACGACGGAACCATCTTGAATTTTATCTCTTATATAATGACAATCTATCTCTATGTGTTTTGTACGCTCATGAAAAACGAGATTCGTCGTTATGTGTAATGCAACCTTGTTGTCACAATATATCAAATCATAGCTGGACTAAGATCCTAACTTCATCTCGACCACACTCTACCTTCTCGTGCGGCTTTCTTTTTCTCATCTATTGATCATCATGGTTGAAATGATTTCCTCTACTTCTAAAGCTTCAAAACTAGATGCATCAAAGTCCGATTTTTTCGATCTCTACTTCACTCATCACTCATATCATCCCGGTTTGGTCCTAATTTCTAAAATCCTAAATGGAGACAACTACTCGACTGGCGTAGAGCCATGATCCTAGCCTTAAACTTCAAGGACAAGCTAGGCTTCGTCGATGGCACAATTAAAGCTCCTTCGGAGGAATCATATTCCTTCAAATATGCAATTTGATCACGTTGTAATGACATGGTCCTCTCTTGGATTGTCAACACTCTCGACCCGGACATTGCCGACGGTGTCATCTATTATTCTTCCGCTTATGAGGTTTAGGAAGACCTTCGTGAACGTTTCTCTCAAAGTAATGCACCTCGCATCTTTGAGATCCAACGAGAGATTATACTATACCGCCGTAATCAACTCTCGGCTTCATCCTACTACAAAACACTCAAGGGTTTCGGGATGAATTGGTTGCCTATTTAGATGCAACTTATGGAACACAAGCAAGATCAACGTAAATTAATGCGATTCTTAATGGGTTTGAATGAATCCTACAGATGCTTATTCGTGGGTAAATTCTCCTCATGAATCCTTTGCCTTCGTTCGATAAGCCTACGTTTCGTTTATCAAGAGGAGAAGCAAAGGATGCTCGGTGCATTGCATACCACTCGCCGAAGAAAACTCAAACGCCGTCATGGTTGTGCGCAACGGGAACAATAAGCCTAACTCGGCTTCGGTTAGAGGAAGAAGGTTTAAGCGATCGGATCGCTCCTATAGATCCGAAAATTTCCAAGTCGATCGCTCATTTGCTTCACATGAAGGACGTCGCTTTGATCAAGAAAAGCATCGCTCTAGATCGGAAGGCAACGACCTTAGTGCACCTACTATGGAGATATGGGCCATTGGGTCCAAACATGTTATCAATTACATGGCTATCCATCATCCCAAGGCAAGAATGAATTCGAGCCCAAATCGACATAAAGGGTTTTCTCGTCGCTAATCAAGTATCCGAGGTGTCACACAACAATGAAGGAAGGCTCGTAGTTTCACTATCGAAGCCCAACTTAAGCAACTTTTGTCACTTCTTAATAATCAATATGAAGGCCCTAGTTCCAAATCAAATGCGATAATAAAGCCGGGTTTGTCTAAAGTCGCTCCTCGCAATTGGATTATTGATAGCGGGGCAACGGATCATATTACTTCATCATCTCAATTGTTGTATAAAGACAAACATTGCTCGCTACCACCTATATTGTTACCTAGCGGAGAAAAGGAAAATATCGTTGCAAAAGGATCTTTGCCTTTGAATTCGATATATTATCCGCATGATGTGTTATTTGTACCCATATTCAAAGTTGATTTGATGTTAGTTAGTCGTTTGATGAAAGGTCTAAGATGTTCGATGACTTTTTTCCTTATTGGTGTATTTTCCGAGATCCGGCTACGAAGAGGACGATTGGTTTGGGTAAACAACATGACGGATCGTACTATTTGATGGCACCGACAACGGAGTAATCTTTGACCAACTCTTCCTCATCCATAAACCGACCAGACTTGTAACCTTACCACTTCATCCACCGACTTATGGCATAGTCGTTTAGGCCATATGTCATCTTCCCGCTTAAGTTTCATTGCTAAGAACTATTTAAATCTTTATATTGAGTCGAATAATGCTTGCCCTATATGTCATTTGGCTAAACGAGTTGTTTACCTTTCGATACAAGTACTATTTCCTCTACAAAATCATTTGATATTATACATTGTGATATTTGGGGTCGTTATCGACATCCTTCTTTTTCCGATGGTCATTATTTTCTTACCATTGTTGATGATTATACACGTTTTACATGGATATTTTTAATGCATCATAAAGATGAAGCACAATCACTTTTGAAACGCTTCTTCGATTATGCTTTCACTTAATTTGAATCCCATATTAAAGCCTTTCGAAGTGACAATGGTAGGGAATTTTTATCCATTCGTCCTTTTTTTAAGACAATGGTGTCATCTTTCAACATTCTTGTGTTTACACACCTCAACAAAATGGGTTGTGGAACGCAAATATCGTCACATCTTACAAGTAGCTCGTGTTTTGATATTTCAAGCTCAACTCCCTTTCCAATTTTGGGACGAATGTGCTCTTACTATTGTACACATCATCAATCGATTGCCTTCACCGATACTTTCTTTCAAAACTCCCTTCGAGCTTCTTTATTCAAAACCACCTTCCTTTTCTCATATCCAGGTATTTGGATATTTAGCTTATGCCACTAATGTTCACACTTCACACAAATTCGACCATCGTGCCATACCTTCTTTTTTCATTGGTTATCCCATCGATCAAAAGTGGCTATAAATTATTTGCTTTATCAACTAAAAAAATATTTACTAATCGAGATGTAAAATTCCATGAGCACATTTTTCCTTATGCCTTTGTTCAGCCTAACTTCACCATTCCTCTCGCATGTCCATAATCCCAACTCGCCTCTCTTATTGGCCCACAACTCATCTTCTCTTATGGACCTTAACTTTTACCCTCAAACAACCGCATCTTCTTCCGTCCCTCCGGTTTCACCGACACCTTCTCCTTCTCCTCAAAACCAAAACCCCAATTTGTCATCACCTTCCTCTCCTCCAACCTCACCACCACCTTCTCCCGGCCCGACCATCCTTCGCACCTATGCACATCATTCGAAAACTCCGGCGCCACTACCGGATACCTCATAACCCTCTTCTCCCATTGTTCCCCTCCGTCCCGTCGTAACGGACCCTTCTCTTCACCACTCTCTTCCCTTACCCGAACCACCCATTTTCTCGCCCGATCTACCCACTCCATCACCCAAACCTCTTCGTTGTTCCAGTACGTCGATCGCTCCATCGGTTAAACTCAACAATTATGTCCGCTCCAATGTTTACTCCGACCAATCGACTTCGAATTTCTAGTTCCGACAAAAGGTACATGCTATCCACTCGTCCATTATGTCTCATATCATAGATATACCCCCGCATATCAATAGTTTATTGCTCAACTCAACAATGTCACGGAACCCAAGTCTTATTTGGAAGAGGTCTCTCATCCTCGATGGCAAAAGGTCATGCGTTTCAAATTACGAGCTCGCCAAGCAAATGGCACTTGGTCTCTCACTCCTCTTCCAGCTGGTAAGACTCTCATTGGTTGTCGTTGGGTTTACAAGATCAAACATAAGTCCGATGGATCAATCGAGCGCTATAAAGCGCGCCTCGTGGCCAAAGGCTTCACTCAATCGGAAGGAGTTAATTATCGGGATACTTTTTCTCCAATAGTTAAGATCACTTATGTACGTTGTTTATTGGCTTTGGTTCGTCGCTCGCGGTTGGTCCCTTCATCAACATGATGTTAATAACGCTTTTCTTCATGGTGATCTCTATGAAGAAATCTATATGTCTCCGCCACTCGGTCTTCGACGACGGGGGAAGAACACTTGGTTTGTCGCCTTCACAAGTCCTTATATGGGTTGAAACAAACATCTCGTCAATGGTTTGCTAAATTCTTTGAGGCCATTCATTTAGCTGGTTATGTACAATCAAAAGTCGACTACTCTCTATTCATTAGAAAGCAAAGCAAGTCCTTTATTGCTCCGATACCATGAAAAGATGAACGAGAGAAGAGTTTGCTAAAATTGATACTCATTGATGTCTAAATGAAAATATATATACGAACTAGCTAACTTTGTCTACACGCCTATTCCTTCCTACAAATTAGCTATATCTATGAATGTTAACTAGAATCAAGAAATACATAATGAAAACAAATATTTACTAATAATACGAGAGAATATGACAAATTTGACTTTCCTTTCCAACGGAAAGAAATAGAGGAAATGATAGAGATGAAAGAAGGAGAGGTGATAAAGATGAAAGAAGGAGAGGTGACGAAGCGGATGAAACATTAGGAAGGGAGGAGAACAGATCCATTGGGCTAAATGCACAGTGAACAATGCTTGATAAAAGAAGCGAGAGGAAATGGACGACGAGAGAGAGACCGAGAGGATAAAGGGATGGCCGAAAGTGGCATGAGAGTTGAGTCCACAAGTGCAAATGAGTGTACGTGAATAGTAGTTGAACAAGAAAACCACCACACGATTTAGTTTATACTACCATATACCCCGAGTGTTGTCGTAGAATGAGCTATACAACATTCATATAAAATTTAAAATTTAAAAATAATTATTTAAAAGGATCACACAAAAAATTTTCTTTTTAAAAAAACCAAAACCCATATCTCATATTTTGCTACGGGGTTAGCTAAACGAAAACTTTGTAAAGTTGAGTAATATAATGTTGCTAATTAGATATTGTTTGATATAAATATGTATTTTATTAGAAATATGTGTAATTTATTAATGAGATAGAGAGACCATTCAAAACAAAAAGATAAAAAAACTTTATCAAATTAAGAATCCGGCAAAAAAGAGAGAGATAAAATTACACACAATAAAAATTAAATGATAAAAAAAGTAAAGATCATAAAAAAATGATTAAAATAAATAAAAAAAACTTTCACTCGGAGCAAAAAAAATAAAAAATAAAATAAAAAACTTATAAAAAATAAGACTAAAAAAATTCATTATACATAAAGCAAGAACAAAAGTAAAACATAATAGAATTTTAATGACCAAAATAAAAAAAAATTTACAAAATAAGAACCAAAACGAGAAAATATTTTTTACTAAAAGCTAAAAAAAAACATAAAATAGTGAAACTATATTTGATTTTAGTGTAGAAAGAATAACAATTAAATATAATAAAACTTTAATAATTAAAATAAAAGAAAGATCACAAAATAAAAACCAAAACATAATAAAAAGTTTGACTAAAAGTAAAAAATAAATCCTTGAAGGGAAAAAATCAAATATAACAAAAATTTAATGATCAAAATAAAAAAAAATAATTACAAAACAAGGACTAAAATAAAAATAAAATTCTACTAAATTCAATGGCTAAAACGAAGAAAAAAAAATCATAAAATAGAACTTATAATAGAAAGAAAAGTAAAAAAAAAAAAAAGCTTAGGATAATGAAACTTTATTTAGTTTTAGTATATTAAGGATAAAAAATCAAACATGATAAAACTTTAATGACTAAAATTAAAACATATCACAAAATTGAAACAAAAAAAGAACATAAATTTTTACTAAAAGTCTAGAAAAAAATATTTATTATAGGAAAAAAAATCAAATATAATAAAATTGTAATATTTATTATAAGGACGAAAATCAAATATAGTGCAATTTTAATGACCAAAGGGACAAAAATCAAATATAATAAAATTTTAATATTTATTATAGGGATGAAAATCAAATATAATAAAATATTAATGATCAAAATAAAAAAATATTACAAATCAGGGACTAAAATAAAAATAAAACCTAGAAAAAAATCAAATATAATAAAATTTTAATAACCAAAGGGACAAAAATCAAATATAATAAAATTTTAATATTATCATAAGGATGAAAATCAAATATAATAAAATATTAATGAACAAAATAAAAAAAATTACAAACCAGAAATTAAAATAAAAATAAAAGCTAAAAGAAGGGGCTTAAAAAACGCAACAGAAATAAAAAAAAAAATCAGAACCTATGAACAATTAATCTACATTAAAAGTGCTATAACACTTTTACGTTTTGCTTTAGTATATCTCGTAAAGTTATAGCTTCAAATAAATATTAGTTTTTTTTATTGTCACATTTATTTATTTATTTCCATTATTTTGAGTATTCTTTTAATTCTAAAGATATGACAAGTTTTTCAAAAGACGTTTCTGAAAATAATTTGACTTCGTCACTGTGCATCACTATATCAAAACGTCAGAGTTGATCCTATCGAATAGGAAGATATCCTTAACGTTTGGTTCAATTAGGATTACTATTTTTTTAAAAAAAACGAAAACTATAAGGACAAGAATGGAAATAATCAAACCTATTTTTCTTAAAAAGCAAAAAAGTCTAGGGACCATAACGACAATAAAGAAATGTACTTAATAAATCAATATCTCAAAATCCCTTATTGTGGACTTAAGTTCCACAAACACTCTCTCTCCCCCTCCCCCCAGTTTCTCTCCCCTCGATTTTACAATGCCATAATACCCACACGCACACACAACACAAGCAAGCCCTAAAAAAGCATAGGCCGCGAAGCCAAGAAGACGAACAACGACAACGACAGCGACGACGTCACTTCAGCAAGCAAGCAGGTTCTCTTTTTCTCTTCCTCTTGCAGGTCAGTTGGATTTCCATTTCTTACTTGCTTATTTCTCTTATCTTCTCTTCTTCTTGAAACCCTAGAAATTATTAGTTCGATCTTGACCTGTCTCGTATTTTTTCGAAGAAATTATTATCAGGGTTTGCGTAAGGGAGAGTTGAATTTCAAATCCAGTGAATTTTTAGGTCTTTTTTTTTGCGTGATTAGAATGAATCAACAAAACCTAACATGGATCAGCTGTGATTTTTTTTCCCTATAAAAGCTCATCTTGCTTCATTGTTTTTTGTTTTATCAACTGCCATTTGTCTACTTAGCTAAACTCAATAAAAGATTCAAATTTTAGGTTATGCGGGTTAGAGTTTGCAATGTGTCTATTACACTGTTTATTGTTGACATTGATCTTTTTCAGTCTGTTGTCTATGTCACAATCTAGTTGAATGAATGGATCATGGAAGCAGTAAGATTACAAATCACCTGCAAAATTTCTGCTTTTCTTATAAGACATGGACTTCTCATTGAGTTAAATAAAAGAGAGAGTAGAAAAAGGTTAAAAGAATAAAAATTTCCGCTAATATGAGGAAGTTTCAGCCTTTTTTTTTTTTTTTTGCAGCGGTAGTGTTTCCATTTTATGGGTTGGAACTTGCTATATAGTTATGGTGCTTATTTGACCTTGCCCTTTTAACTGATTTATTTTGTTATGAAGGATTTTATCATATCCTACACATCTGTGATGAAGTGATAAAAGACTAGTTCTCGACGTAGTAGTCGAATCTTGTTTTGTCTTATCCTGGTCTTGGAGAATTATGGCGGGATCATTACCTGGGGAATCTTCACATTATGGGAATTCCGAGAGCGGGCCATCTAGGAGTTCTCAAGAGAGACCAGAGGAAGGGGATCGTTGGTATTTTTCAAGGAAAGAAATAGAAGAGAATTCCCCGTCAAGAAGAGATAATATTGACTTGAAGAAAGAGACGTATCTACGGAAATCCTATTGCACATTTTTGCAGGATCTCGGCATGAGATTGAAAGTGTGAGTTCATGTGTATGTGTTGTTTTCTTCTTTTACTGACTTATGGCCTAATTTTTTGAGTATTTTCCAATCTGGTCTGATTCTAATTTGATGGCGTTTTTGTTATGTGAAGTTTTCTGCATTGTTTACTAGCAATCATATATACATAAATATACAACAAACGTGGAGTTCGATAATATGAGTGGATATTTGTTCTTAAAAGTATTCACTTGATGGTTCTTCGCTCAAGCTCCGACCATATGCAGGGGTCTCATCGTGTTTGATTATTTTACATGGTAGCTCAAGTGTAGATCCTAGTGCTTCTAGATTGTTGATATATGATTATCAAGAATAAATGAATTCTTTTAAATTTGATAGGGATTCTGTTTAGTTAAAATGTTTATTAGTTAGCTTTCTTAAAATAAAACCGAGTTTTACATTGTAAATTTACCCTATGTAGGACTACTTTTTAGGCTGATGTGCATAGTGATGCTTTCATCATGGTTAATTCTGAGAGATCTATAGTGATACTTTCACCATGGTTAATTCTGAGAGATCTATCATTGTTTAAAATAATTTTTTTACAAGGTGAGTCATGGTCTTTTAGAATGAGGAAGCACCATCGTACATGTTCAGTAGGAAACTGTTGATCTCTTAAAAGCTAAGAGATCTCTTGAATTATTTTGAACCATGAGAGATCTATCATGGTTCAAAATAATTTTTTACAACTTGAGTCATGGTCTTTTAGAATGAGGAAGCATCAGGTTAAATGTTCAGTAAAGCCACAAGGAAACTGTCAATCTCTTAAAAGCTAAGAAAGTTGGACCAAAACATAACCGAATCAGGCTATACCCTTTCGGTGTAATGGCATAGACCTTTAGCTAAAGACCGGGTGGTGTCTTACATCTTGGTTTTGTGTCTGTGCACTTGAATTGCGGATCTGATATTGGGAGCACTATCTCCTTGTTGTTTTCTTGACAGTGGACATCCTCATGTGAATAGGAGTTCAGTTGACAATGTGTTTGGATGCTTCTTTCATTTTTTAGCTGAAGTTGTAGAAATTTTTTTCTATTTTTCTAGTTCTTACACGGAATGTCTTAGGGCTATTAATAGTCTCGATTCATAAATGGCTTGAAATGCGGGCTCTAGTTGAGGACATTTGCATTAATGGAAATTAATAGAAATGGAAAAAGGAAACATATCTATTTTCTGTGTGCCATAAATAGGATAGAAATCACAAAGTGGAGCCCAATAGTCCGTTAGGAAGATGCCTAGGAGAAAATTTTCTTAGTTCTTTCTTTTTCCTCTTGAAGATGACTCATATCTTCTGCAGTTTGAGGATTGAGTCTTTTCTAAGTCTTAGAGCATGTGATAGATGATTGAAATATAAGCTTCCATTTATGGTATGCGATGTTGAGTCATTTAGTAGTTTATTGATTTCCAAGTCTTAGAGAACGTGATACATGTATGGCATATGATGTTGAGAGAGTCATTTAGTAGTTTATTGATTTCCAAGTCTCAGAGAATGTGATACATTCATGGCATACGATGTTGAGAGAGTCATTTAGTAGTTCATTGATTTCCAAGTCTTAGAGAGAATGTGATAGGTGACAGAAATATATAAAGTGCTAGGTATAATATATGACATTGGCACTCACACTCACACAGCTGAGGGTCATTTAGTAGTTAATTGATCAATATGGTATAATTTCATTACAATATTGGGGTGGCAGTTTTGATGAAGATGTTTGATCAATAATCATGACCCCTATAATTTGGAATGGGAAACTGTGGCCTTCCTAATGAAATATGATTTTTCAAACCAACACCACGTTTCTTTGATGCTTCTGCCTGTCATTGCCAATGTTGATGCCATTGATTGCTTGCAAGGATTTTGTCAGTGCACTTTCATTTTGTCTGCATGAAGGGATGTTGGTTAAAGGGATTTAGAGAATAGAATTTGGAGAACTCAACAATGGGGATGATAATCTCTATTATTGCTTTAGATCCTGTCAACTGCTTTCTTGATATATTGACATAATGTCTCTGATCTGTCAAGGGTTGCGTATTTCTGTGCTTGCAAACTGAGTTATGTACTGATGTTATCCTAGTCAGAATTTTAGAATAAGTGTTTTGAAAGTGAAAGTATTTTCTTGTTTATCTTGAAAGCATTTCTGTGGGTGTTTTTAGGGGCTGATACCCCAAGGTATGGAGTGCACTTCTATTTTAACTATGGTTACTGTATTGGTTATACTGTTTTGGAGAATGACTTGCTTCTTGAATTTGTAGCTATGTTCTTGTTTCTTTTTAATAATTGATTTTGGTTATCGTCTTCATGCTGTTCTTGAGAATGGCTTGCTCCCCCAATTTGTAACTACATGCTCAGTTTTTTAATAATGTTACAGAGAAGCTGACAGCAGCATTCACAAGTAAAATCACTTGATACTTGTGCAACAAAATGAATTTTTTCATCTGTTGCTTGGGGTGGGACATCATCTTGTGAAATTGATCAATTACCCGCCCCAACTCTTGGTGTGTGTTATTTGTCTTTTGAGGGAGGTGGGTGCATGCATCTGTGTGTGTGGTATGCCTGTTTCACGTGTATACTTGAGTATGTTATACAAATTTCCTTGAAATGAGGCAAGAGATCTAGATATCAGTTTGTAAATGTATGTAACTTCTTGTTTTTGTGTAGGCCCCAGGTAACCATAGCCACAGCAATAATATTCTGTCACAGATTCTTCATTCGTCAATCACATGCGAAGAATGACAGAAGGGTGAGTCATTGTTGTTTCAACCAACGTGGCTTTTGCTTTCTAAGCCATTTGAACCTTTATTGCTCGCATTCAATCAATTGTTGAATCTTATATTTTTGCACCTCTGTATGAATGGTAAGTGATGCATCTTATGTGTCTTTACAGAATTTTAAAGGTAGTAGATTTAGGTCACAGAGATTCATAAAATAGTGCTGTAGAGAAAATATCTTTTGAAATGGAAGCTGGTCACTAGAAATTGTTGGCAAGACTTTAGGTAGTATTGTCCCTGGTGTCCATGTGTGGTAGATGTGGACCTATGGAGGCTTGCAAATGAGCTTTTGGATGCACATTTAGGTCTTTTAATAATTTAAGAAGGAAAAGATCAATCCAGTCCAAGGAAAATGACAGAAAAGAGAAGGAATAGATAAGGTGAATTGAAATTAATATTGATTTGTTCCCACGCCCAATCACTTTTTTTTTTTTTTTTTTTGGCTTTGCAGACCATAGCAACTGTTTGTATGTTCCTTGCTGGGAAAGTGGAAGAGACTCCTCGGCCACTAAAGGATGTTATTCTAGTTTCATACGAGATAATGCATAAAAAAGATCCTGCTGCAGCCCAGAGGATCAAACAAAAGGTTTTCTTTATATTAATCGTGTTTGACTGGCATATCTGTATAGTGTGTCATCCTGATGCTTACCAAGCTGTATTGTTGTTTCCATTCTTCTTCCTCCAATTACTATCTCTCTTCTCTGGATGTTCTTCTTACATACCTCAGTTGTTGCTGCCACCTCTCTCTCTCTCTCACTGTGGAACTTAATTTTCATCCCTCTAATCCTACTTATGCTTTATATAAAATAACCAAGCATGTTGTTAGCGACAAATACCTTTTACATTATAGTCCACATAGACTCTGGTTTTTCAAGTATGACACCTGGTGAATGATTTTGCCAAAGTACTTAGATTTACTTGGCAGTAATTGCTCAGTAGGCGTCATACAGGTCTTCTTCACTTTTGCAGAATTTATCACCATTCTTCTCTTGAATTAAAAATCTTGCTCAGAGTGCTCTTTTTTCACATGCTGAGCATTGGTAAATAATCTCCCTGCTTCCTTGGATTTTCTTAAAAATTTTCCTTTCCTTTTTCTGTAACTATGGAGTTTCAGAAGATTTCTCATTGATCCACGTTTATCATGCAGGAAGTATATGAGCAACAGAAAGAGCTTATTCTACTTGGGGAGAGGGTTGTACTTGCCACTTTGGGTTTTGACCTGAATGTTCATCACCCTTACAAACCACTAGTTGAAGCAATAAAGAAATTTAAGGTTGCACAAAATGCCCTTGCTCAAGTGGCATGGAATTTTGTTAACGACGGGTATGCATCATGTCCTGTTTTTTGAGTCCTCATTAATTCAGTCCAATGGTTTCTCTTTCTATTCTTCACACTCTGGAAAGCGGCTTGCAGGCTGAGGACTTCGCTCTGCCTGCAATTTAAGCCCCATCACATTGCGGCAGGTGCCATTTTCCTTGCTGCCAAGTTCCTCAAAGTGAAGCTTCCATCGGATGGCGAGAAGGTCTGGTGGCAAGAATTTGATGTCACCCCACGCCAATTGGAGGGTTGGTATCCTCCTCTTGATATTGTTGTAAGACTTGTATGGATTCAATTGGACAGTCTTCAAATAGCCCTGTGACACTACTAGTGCTGCACAAAATTGTAGCAGCACTTTGTGAGATGATTGTAGCTATGACCCATGAACTAGGTGTTTCTTGGTGGTGACCAGAAAAGACTACGGGCTGGCTATGATCTTATTATGAGGTCAGGAGTTTGGGAGGGCTATAGATAGGTTGCCCATTTGCCAGCCCCAGGTGCTACTGGTGTTGATTGTCTGTCCTCTTGTGTCTTTTATTTGGTTGATTTGAATTTGAATGTTTTGTTGGATCATTATGGTTATTTTGCTTGCAGAGGTTAGCAATCAAATGTTGGAGTTATATGAGCAAAACAGAGTGCCCCTGTCACAGGGGAGTGAAATAGAAGGAAGTGCTGGAGGTGGGTCAGGCCATCGACCACCAGCTAGAACTCCAGCTGTGAGTGAGGACCATGTTTCAAAGCAAACATCTTCACGAGCAGCCTCTGAACCTTTGTGTCAAGATGACAATGTGGCACCACCAAGAAACTCCTATAACCAAAATAATGACAATGGGAGTGGAGAGACCGACAGTGTTATTACTGATCACAAGGTGGAGGTAGAAACTAGAGACCGTGAGCCTGTCTCCCACAAGGAAATCAAAAGAGAGGACCCCACTAAATCCAGGTATGGGACAGAGCAAGGGGAAGAAGACCAAGAAAGAACTGCAGGGAGAAATGAGGGTGCAGAAGCTGGAGAGTGGAGGGATGATGCTGTATCTTGTAAGTCCACCAGCATAGTTGGTAGGAAATTGGATCTTCGTGAAGGCCCAGTTGGCCAGTCCCCTAAAGATGCTATTAAGATGATAGACAAGGACAAGCTGAAGGCAGCACTTGAGAAACGGAAGAAATCTCGAGGGGAGACCACACGGAAGAAGGATATCATGGATGAGGACGATCTTATTGAGAGGGAACTAGAAGATGGGGTTGAGCTGGCGGCTGAGGATGAGAAAATCAAACGAGAGAGAAGGCAGAGCTGGTCTAAAACTGAAAATCTAGATTTTAATAAGGATCATGCAGAAGCTGGGGAGGGAAACCATGTGATCATGAAAGGGCAGTCATCACGGGGATTGGAAGCAGAATACGCAGAAGAAGGGGAAATGCTGGATGATGCTTCCCCCATGCTGAATAGCCGAAAAAGAAAAGGGAGCCCGGCTGAAAGACAGTCAGAGGGAAAGAGGCGGCATGATTACAACCGTGATACCATAGAAGATGGACACAAGATGGGCAAGAGTGGTTATGCAGATAGGGAGCACAGAAGGCATCCACAAGAGAATCATCTGTGAGGTAAATGTAAGGCACCCTTTGTATTTCAGTTATGTGGTCAGCATGATCTTGGGACTCTTGAGACTTTGCTGAACATTATGTATTAGTTTGATTTTGGATTGCCTCTATGGCATGTCTTCATTGTAATACATGATGATGAATGGGATGTTTTAAATTTTGAAAATGGCAGAGCCACCAAAAAAAAAGAACCAAAAAAAAAAAAAAAAAGGAAAAAAGAAAGAAAATGAAAGCAGTCATATTTATTCACTTATGCTGTGTGGAGGTTTAGACTGGAACTTCAGTTTGCTGCTTGATATCATTCTGAGTTTATTTGATTGATCTACTTGTATTCACTTGCGTGGCTTTGATACGAGATTACTCAACTAGTCCAAATCACAATCCAGTTGCAAATCAAGAGCTATTGGATTATGAACTCAAGTCATGTTTCAATACTTGGTTTTTGTATTGGTGGTTTTGTCAATTTCGATGGGAAGTGTCAGTTATTTTTTCCAGTGAGATAAGCTTCTAATCCCCGAAAACCCTTTTGAGTTTAAGTTTCTTAAAGCCAGAGTTTCCATGTTTGTTATTGATCAAGGTGGAAAAAACTTGGCAGTTTATATATATTGGATTGACCATAGATTCAAGCCCCCTAAACAGCTTGAAGAACAAGCACGATAGATTACCTTGAAGTAAAAATTTCCCCCGTCTTGGTAAGCTGAACTCGGCGGCGAGAGTCCTGCCTACTGATTGAAGTTGAGTTAAAATTTACCAATTTTAATTTTACAGGAAGATTTTCCCTGAATGACTTCCTAAAAATCTTATAAGTTCAACTAAGGTGATTTTTAAACAGATTTTGGTAAAATTAAACTTGTGTCGAGCCATTGTGTAAGTTATGATTGGTTAAACAAGAGCATGTCCTTATCAGCAGCACAGGTAGACAGGTAGAAGTGTGTTCATGGTAAGCACACGAACACACTGACCATGTACATATTAGCAAATCTCTTATCCAAAGCTATTGGAAGGATAGCCAGGGAATCTGAAAGCCACAACAAAACCCCCTTAACCAATGACAACTGCCCACCTCAGCCTACTTACTCCTTCCACCTTATCCCCATTTCCACCACTAATCCCCCTTCCAAGAATCTCAAAACCATCTCTCCACTCTTCATTCAATTCTCCTTCCTCGTTTCAAGTATCTTTCTTTCTGATCTAAAACACTAGATCCCTAAGCGAGGAAGCCAGAAAAGAAAAAAAAAAAAACCCTAAAACAAAAATGTCTCTTACAATACCAAGCAATCTCTCCATGTTGAAGCCCAAACTTGGGGTCTCTCAAATGACCCCGACAAAACCAAGATCCATGGTTGTATGTTCAGCATCACAAACTCCATCAACACAAGAGAAACCATCATCACCACTCCAAGCATTCTCTGCTGCACTCGCACTCTCTTCCATTCTCTTATCAGCTCCACTTCCTGCTGTAGCTGATATCTCTGGCCTAACCCCATGCAAAGACTCCAAACAATTTGCCAAACGTGAGAAACAGCAGATTAAAAAGCTAGAATCTTCTCTAAAATTGTATGCACCTGACAGTGCACCTGCTTTGGCTATCAAAGCTACAGTTGAGAAGACTAAAAGAAGGTTTGACAACTATGGGAAGCAAGGGTTGCTATGTGGCTCAGATGGGCTACCTCACTTGATTGTGAGTGGTGACCAAAGGCATTGGGGTGAGTTTATTACACCTGGGATTTTGTTCTTGTACATTGCTGGATGGATTGGGTGGGTTGGTAGGAGTTACTTGATTGCTATAAGTGATGAGAAGAAGCCAGCAATGAAGGAGATCATTATCGATGTGCCTTTGGCTACTAGTTTGGTCTTTAGAGGCTTTTCTTGGCCTGTTGCTGCCTACAGAGAGCTTGTCAATGGTAATCTTGTTGTCAAGGATGTGTAAATTACCACTCAGGTTTGTCTCTTTTTCTATATATATATATATATTAGATCATGCTTAATTCACTTAGAAATTAGAAATGGATGGAGAATCCTTTTCCGTAAACACATATTATATGCTTAAAAAATAATTAATCTAATACCATATTTCGAGTAGAATTCTTTTTACTTCCACACGGAGGCCCAAATTGTAAGTAAAGTTCAAAGTATGAATTCTATTTAGAAGTGGTGTGGGAATTTAATCTCGTTTTATAACTGGGCAGTCATGTCTATGCAATGAACTAACTATTTTGTGGCATTTTGGACCGTCTAATCGATAATTTGGTGGAGCTATTATGCCAAAAATAATACTGAAAATTATATCGTTATTTAATCTGGTTCTTGGATGCTAATAGTGATGTTGAATTTTTTTTTTTTTTTTTTTTTGGCACAGATATATTTGAAAGACAGGCCAAGGTGAGGAGTGTAAGAGGGGTGCACTACTTGGGAGTGTACGAGGAGGGGGAGTGATGGGGAGTTTCTTGTATTTTAATTGTGAACAATGTACTTGTACTTGTATGTATTCTAATGCTTATGTTTGACAGCGAGGAATTGTCTAGAATATTGTGGTTTTTTTTTTTTTTTTTTGGGGACCAATTTATTTCAAAATTCACCAAGCAGTGTGCCATTCATGCTCTGGAGCCTAGGGGAAAAAAAAACCAAAAATAGAAGACTTAATTTGCTTATTATCACTTGGAGCTTTTCCTAGAAAAAGAAACTTGCTTTGGAGTAATTGATGTCATCAAGCAATCTAGCCCTATAATTGTTGTTACAATTTGTTTTTAAAAAAGAATTGTTGTTACCAATAACCAGTAAGGCCTGCAATAAAAATTTGGCCATACATATATAGTAGGTAACTTGGCAAGGGCAAAATTGTTATTCCCTCATCATATACTATTTTTAACAAAGTAATATTTAAAATTACTGCATCATTTCATGGTTGACGGAGAGCATATGTACCATTTCAAGACTGAAAGTAAAGTTGCCTTGAGGATATCCGTTAAAAATGAAAACTTAGAAACTTGAAGTTTGAAAAATTCCCTCTACGAGCAAATAGCAACCCACAACAACATAAACTCGAAGTTTGACAAATCTTTTATTTGGGCCTAATTATAGGTAAATTTTCTATTAGCATTTCAAGCCCATTTCTTACTTTTCTGATGGTGACGAGAAGCCCATTTCTGGCTTTTAGTAACTTCAGTAACTGAAACTTATCATCTTGGATCTGTTTTCCTACTAAATTAACGCGCAAATTAAAAGGAAAAACAAAGATTTGTGCAAATTACAGAGTGTTGATTTGGTCTATATCAATAGTTTCTTGGATCATTGTCAATTCTTCACATATCCAATAGGCTTTCCAATCTTTCTCTTCGAGTCACATCTGTGTACGAATATTAACATATGATATATTTTTATAAAACACATTATCATAAGCCAAAATCATTAAAGAATCCAAACGTGATCAACTAAGCAAAAACATTGCACCATGACTAAAAACAAAAGCGGTAAAACCAAAGTCAATATATTACTCAGCTCATGAGGAAAATCCGTCCAATGTTTGCCACAAAGTCCACAATCATCCAGTATATAATTGATTACTCACTGTATATAAAGTTAAATTATATGTACATTATAGTTAATCCAAAAGCAAAGTACCTAAATGGGCTGCCACCGTGACCGCCACCACTATCCCCACCACTAATACTGCTATACCCCTCTGCCCATATGGATGGATATATAGTGAGGACATCCAAAAAAAAAAAAAAAAGAAAAAAAAATTGAAAACCTTGGAGACAAAAATCAACCTAGATGATATAGTAGGAGTAAGGCTAGGCATGACATAAAAAGGTAGCACGCAAACCCTAGTATGACCACATGGACTCTCCCAAACTGGTGTGATCCACCATATCCATGTCAAAAATTGGCTTCATTTGGGAACCCATGAGCCTAGAAGAAGGTGACCCACTATTACTTGGGCTAGCTGGACTTAGCCCATGGTTCGATAATGTTGCTGTCTGCCTCACTCGCAGGTGCACCACTTCTGCCTGAGCCAGCGCCAACTGGGTCTGAAGCGAATCAATTTGTTGTTGCAAAGATGATATAGCACCCACACACCCATACACTGGGTCACGAACCCTAGCGTTAGCCTCATACACCATGCTGCTAACCGCATCTCCTCGTCGGTGCACCGGTAGCTCCTGAAACAAAAAGAAAGAGACCATTTTAGTTTGCTCTTTGAGAGAGATAGTGGCACAAACCCAGAAAAATTATCAAGTGAAACTGCCTCACATGGTATAATCCACTATTTTGCAATTATGAACTAATACTAATTCAATTATTTCTTCATTTTACAATATTAATAAGTGTTGTGATCTTCCATTTCAAATTTAACACATAATTAATATCCTTCTCTTATCTTTAATTGAACTAATTAATTCAATTAATAAAACTGACATCACCAAAAAAAAAAAGAAAAAAAAAGGGGGTGTTTCAGGTTAGGGTTTGAGTTATGCCGTTGCTAACTTATTAGGAAAAAATATATATATATTTGACAAGCGCACATGATATCTTGATTACATTATGCACGAGTCATTATATGAAAATAATTTTATTGCATGATTTTTCATTAGATCAATTGCATGGTGCTACATTCTTCTATTTTGGATTTTTTTGGGAGTGCCTGTCTCTATCATTGGAATTACAAGTTTCCTTCGTGCACCGAAATTTTTTATATATAAAGCAAAAATCTTTCGCTTCATAAAAAAATCAAGCTCTTTTTCCGAAATGGCATCGGTGCCCCTCTCAGTACAGATGACATTGAACCTATAAGTATTTGAGATCTAGCGGCCATTAAAAAAAAAAAAAAAAGTCCAGATTCTCGTCATCCCCAAATTATTAAAATTATTGAGTGCAATTGCACATCAACAACTTCACGTTATTTCTTTTTGTTTTTTTATCAAAAAAAAAAAAAAAATCACATCGCAACAACTACTAGTAGGAAAGCAAAACCACCAATAACATATATATATATATTTACAAGAATATTTGTCTGCACTCCCATCTTAACCCAAGTTAAATTAATGAATAAATTTGAAAGATGGGAAGAGGAAAACCATTTATCTCTTTCCCATTCAAATGAATAAGTAGGAAATTAACGAAATTTATCATGTAGATGGATTGATGTAATTAGTCTTTTTTTTTTTTCTTTCTTTTTTTGTTTGCACCCGATTGAATAATCAACCTAAGACCATCAAGCTGAGCATCAAATTAAGGAAGCAGCTTCAGAAGAAAATTAGAACCCCAAAATTTTTGTGAAGATGGTTTCAAATTACAGTGCAAAGTAAGGTTTAGGTTTAAGTTCAATCAAATTAAGTAGAAAGAAGTCATTTTCTCTGTCTATGAAGTTGCTTCCAAACACAACCTGAAGCGATCAATTTCAGCGAGACAAAGACTGAAAAGAATCAAACAAGTGTTGTTAAAAAAGAGTATATAGGAACCAACCTGTAACATCTTGTTGACATTACTAGCACCAAAGACCTTGTGCACATTAGCAAACTTCTGGGGCTCATCTGCTGGAAAATAAGGGGCAAAGACACAGTCTTGGGCACACCTTCTCCTTAGAAGCTTGCATGCTGCACATGGTGAGGGTGCACCTTGTTTCCTGCCACCCTCCTTCATAGTGAAAAATGTCTCTCCTAGCTTAACACTAAACCCAACAGTCTCTACTGTTGTGAGCAAAATAGCCTCCAATTTAGGAGGTACTTTGCCCTCAGAGAAAGGACAAGGAGGTCCAAACGGCCTGATAGATGGTTAAAAAGACAAAAATGGAGGGCGGAGCTAAAAAAAAAAAAAAGTGAGAAAAGAGAGGGGAGAGAGAGAGAGAGTTTTGACAGGGAAAATAAAGTAGGGGGCATGAAGAGCGAAGTGAGTGGGGCTTAAATAAGCAAAGTCAGTACATCTGATATGGGTCCCACAAAAGGAAACCTCATAGATTTTGGTCGACTAAAAACGTCTCTTGTAATGTGACATCTTTTAGCGCCAATTTCTTTTTTGGTTTTTAATAAACTATAACAATTTTCATACACCGAAATTAGTTCTATTTTTCGGTTAGATTTAAGGCAATTATTCTTGTCTAGATTCATAAAAAAAAATTGATTATTATTATTATTATTTTTTTTTTAAGAACTCGCATCTTAAAAGAGAAGGGGAAAAGCAAATCTATTTACCAATTACCATTCCTTATTAAGTTTGTACAACTTTTTAGTGTCAATTTTAACACTGGTTTAATGATGTAACCAGTAATTATAACAGTGTCAACAAGGCTGAAAATGAATTTGTCAAAGGCATGATTTTGCTTGGGGTTTTGATAGTTAAAGACGTGTAATGATTTTTTTTTTTTTTGGGCCCTTCCACCTATCTGAATAGACTCATAAATCATAATGATGCAGCTAGCCAATGGTGTTTTTTCTCTTTTTTCTTTTTACCCCCATTAAAGGGCTATTCACCTTTGGACTATGTACGGGATACCTCAGCTTACTTTCTTAACTTAAAACAGTCAAAAAAGTTTTTTTTTTTTTTTTTTAAAAAAGTCTGTGTTTGGCAACGCCACTCAAATGTTATAAAAGTGTATTTGGATTAAATTTTAATGTGTTTTTTTTTTCATGTTTTTGGTGTCAATATATTAAAATTATTCTAGAAGACATCTAGCCGATGTATTTTCAGTTCAAATATATTTTAAAAAGTACTTTTAAATACAGTGTAAATGCATAACCAAACACAATCTTATTACAGTTAAAGACAAAAAAAAAAATACTGTTTTGTTATAAGCAAAATTTGATTTTAAATTAATTAATAAACGTAAAATTTTTCATTAGTAAAACATTTATTCATACTAGTGTAATATTTCCACATATAACCGATTCATGCATAAACATAAGGTTGTTTTTTTTTTTTTTTCTTTTTTTCCCGACTCAAGATAGGACTATGATTCAAAATTCTATATAAAGCGGGGAACACACTAATATAAGTTGCAATAAATCGTGGTGGTGGTGAGGGGCATGTTAGAATATCATAAGAATTTTAGGAGTGTTATAAATTTATATTTGAAGTTTTCGGAGGCATCTAGTAATAATTTATAAGGGATGAAGATGAGATTAATTAGTTATACCTAAAATTAAAGGACTGAAGTGATTTTTAGAAAATTTTGGGACTCATGCATGCATGGCTCCTCAGTTCTAGCTGACCCAGACCAAATGTCTTAAAATTTTAGTCATGGCTCAAACCAGTTCAAAAAACAGAATTATTTAATATCGCTAAATGTTCACAGACCATTGTTTTATGAATGTTTCTAAAGTCACTAAAGAAACATATATTTTCGCTAAATAATTGGTGAAAAAAACACATGCATGTGTTCCGTAAGTTCTCAAAATGTTCTTGTTATATAAAATACCATTGTGTAATATTAAACTAATAAAATAATGGCATAGGTTAGCGGCTTTCTATATATATATATATATATATATTTGGAACAACTGCTGATGGCCGATCCAATGTGTTGAAAGTGTAGTTCTTAAATTCCACGCCTTCATTGTTGATATATCTTTGCTGCTGCATGCATTGCAAGAACTATAAAATGGTGTGAACGTATGGACTAATTGAAAGAAACAACTTGATTAAAATGTACTAAAAGGGGCACTGCCTACAAGTATCTCCATTTTTCTTTCCTTGGTTATCGTGATGACTTCGAAACCGTCAATATGTGTATAGGGTTTTGATATACAGAAGCATCTTGATCAGTCTTGCATTAATTGGAAAAAAAAAAGAAAAAGGACTTATCAGTCTTGGAAAATAATGTAACGGAAAAAAAGAAAGAAAAGAAGATAGCGATTCAAAGCACACTCTTGTCAGAAAAGTTGAGCAAAGGGGTGGATGACTTTTTCGAATCTATGAAATATTTGATGCAAACATTTTTTTTAGGACATTACAGTAATTACACTATATATTAAAAAAAAGTGTAATAGCGTACGGTTTGGGTTTGATTCGGTAGGATGAGAAAAGAGTGGATAAATATGTGGTTAAAGAGAAAGCTTATCTATTTGTTCCCTCCCAAAAAAGAAGAAGAAAGACCATTGACCTGAGCTAAGGTCAGCAAACAGCCACCATCCTCAATATTCACATCCTTTACATATTCATCTTATCAGTTTTTATAGTAAAGGTGTTTGAGACTACCTTTTATGCATTAGATTTAAATAATTTTATGCATTTGATTTAATTAATTATTTAGGACATATTTAAAAAAAAACATTAAGCTGTGGAGACTAATGCAAATGTGGTTTGCAGTTTAACAGGTTTCATAGAGTCCGTATGACGATTTCACTGAACAATAAGCATAATTCAAGGGGTTAGTGTCCTTTGTGGGAGCTCAGAAGCAAAACTCTCCAAAAATCTATAATGTATTGGATCAACTGTACATGCTCGTTAGTGTTTTACAATAATCTTAATTGTTCATACTTGTAAATATGGATAGCATCTCTTGTATTTGTGATTGATCGAAAACCTAATAAAAACTCTTAATACGACCATAGAATAGACACACTTGTTGATTAATAAGAATTGCATAATTGAAGATAAAAACAGAATATCATACTACTTAATTATGTGCAGAAACCTCTCTATGCTATTCTTAAAATGATTATTACCTTTGTTATAATGCTACGGGGATTTTGACAATGCACTTATAGTATTTAATTTTTGCACCCAAGGATTGCATACAACACTCTTAAAATTCCTTTTAAAGAATTTTTCTTGAAATTGTAGAATTTTAGAAAGAGAAGAATTTTGAGATGAAGATTGTAGAAAAAAAATTTGTCTAGTTCTATTTATAGTTTATTGAAACCCTTTATAACAAATGTGATTGTTGAAAAACTAACTTATTAAATAATCAATTGTTAAATTCTAACAGTCACAATTCAATAATTATATTTGTTTAAAACTTAAAAATTGATCGTTACAAAATAATAATAATTAAAAACGTAATTAATTAATATAATTATGAATTTAATTAAATCATAAAATAAAAATAAATTCAAAACTTCTTACTCATATGTCGCGCACGTGCCAAGTGCTATTCTGCGATTGTTATATATATATATATTCCATCCATTTGGTTTTGCTTTAAATTCTGCTAAATATTTGAAACATTAAGAGATTTACTTTATGAATTGCCTCTTTCTTTCGTTTCTTTCCGATGTGTGATTGACATCCACTTCAAAACAAATATTTTCAAACTCTTCTCACCGTACTTAACTTATTATTTATCAAAATCAAGATATGAACTACGTAAATATTTTATCATGTGATTGTTTAAAGTCTTTTTATTTTATTTTTTTATTTGATTCGTTTCGTAACAGCAAATCCATAAATAAATTAGTGTAGTTTCAAAATTTATAATGACTTATAGAATTTGAATCCTGAATAGTAAATTCATTTATCAATTAGATTAAATCTTGACAGATTTTTTTGTTCATGTTTTTTTTTTTGTTAATCTTTTTTAATAGGATAGTATATACAGCTAAAAGATGTCTAATATATCCAAGAAAGAAAAATTATGAAGGTTACTAAAATGTTTTTATCAACGGATGGCACGATAATAATGTTGTTTACATTGAAATCACAATATCTATCCTAATTTTTTTTATAGATCTCAGATCATAGGTTATTGCGTATAATGATTGACCTAAACTAACAAACAACCATAATAGATAAGCTAGGAAAATGTTTCCAAATTCGTTTGACCAATGCAAACTAGCTAGCTAGTAACTATAAATGGCCAATGCAAAGCGCCCATAGAAAGGAACATGCCCTCATAATCATGTTATTATCATCAAATTTGGGTAATCCGTTTGTGGTTTTCTTTGATCGTCAACCTATACTGCCACTGCCCACGTGTTCAAACGGTGGGCGGGTTATAACGAAGCTGATCTCCTTGTTAAATCTTCCAAGTCTTTGTTCAATGAATCATCCGCATGTGCCAGAGAGATTGTCCTATATTTTGTCTTTTTGACACATTGCAGGAGACTACTGGTTAGAAGTTTGTTTTCTCTCGAGCCAAGCACGTGATTCGCCAACCAAAAAACCATTGCACGTTATGAAAGACTTGGTCCTTCTTTGCAAGCTCTGCATTGGCTCATTCAAGAAAATAAAAGAAATGAAATTTTCTCATGTGTCATTTGACAGTACGGAGGGATCATATTTCGATTGATCTCACTATATAAGTTTTTACGATATAATTTAATATTATTTTTTTAAATAAAAGTTTTTTTAATTTAAAATTTATACAAATTTATATTATTTTATACTATTTTTAATCTTTAAGTTAACAAAACTTTAATATTGTGTCAAACAATTATGTCAATTTAAAAATTTAAACTGTTAAATAAAATTATAAAATATAATTTATATTATTATTTAACAATAAGTATATATCAACTTTAGTTTGATTTCTTTGTAAAATGAAAATCATTTTGGTCCTAATTAACCTCAAAGCTTTATCTCAAGTGTTTCCACCACCAAACTCTAAGCTAGTCCCTAGAGATTAAGAGGTTATAATGCCTCTCTTTGATATCCTAGTTAGAGTTAGCGTTTACTTTATTTGTCGGCACCAATTATCAAATAGCTAATAAAATCATTTGACATTGATCTGAAAAAACCCACAAAATCAAACTCTCACTTTCATCTAAATAGATCTAAGAAGAAACTTTGTTTTGCACGATATATATATAGCAAGACATGTGAATCTAAAATCTTTGGCTACACCCACTATTTGCATCTTGTATTTTCATAAATCTATCAAATAAGTTAATGTGTTTTCAATTTAGTCAATTCATGAACATGTGTATTTTAAATTTTAGTTAAT